TCTTTCTTTCTTTCTTTCTTTCTTTCTTTCTTTCTTTCTTTCTTTCTTTCTTTCTTTCTTTCTTTCTTTCTCTAGAACATTTAGGGGAAGTGCAAACATTAAGAGAGAGCTCTAGGAAACAAGCCTAAAGGCCCATGTGAGAGAGACTCTGGGAGCCAGCAGGCACCGCTCCCTTCTTTCCAGACCCACGTCATTCAGTCTGCTCAAGCGCCCTTTCCACAAAGCCACAGGCAACCAGCTGCCCTCAGCTCTCTTGCCAGCTCCATTTCCCCTGGTTCTTTTCTGTCCAATTGTCCCAAGTCATGTCAGGGTAGACATGAGGCCCCTGTGGTCAAGAGTCGGTCTTTGTGGATTTGGGTTCTGAATTAGATACTTTTCAAGTTACTGTGAGAAAATACCTGCAAATACAACTTAAGGAGGAAAGGGTTGGCTTTGAGGATGCAATCGTGTCAGGGACAGCATAGGTGGCAGGAACGGGAGACAGCTGGGCTCATGGTGCCCACGGCTGGAAGCAGAGACAGATGAATCCTGGTGCTTAGCTCATCTTCTCCTTCTCATTTAGTCTAGGACCCCAGCCCACTGGCTGGTGCCATTCAACAATTAGGGAGTGTCTTCCTCAAGCAGTTAGACCATTCTGGAAACACCCTGATGGGCACACAGAGGCCCATTTCCATGGTGATTCTGCACACCTAGCAAGGTGCCAAGGACCCAGGAAGCAGCCAGCCCTCCTCTCCAGACATCTTTCAAGGCTCTGGCCACAGGCTCTTGGGAATAACAATCAACAGAGGCAACGTTCCAATTTGTACCAACCCCTGTGACATTCTTCAACCCTCAGGGCTCAGAAGGGCAGGCCACCCCTCGGAGGAATGTGGCTGTTCTGTTGAGGCTCAGGGACCCTGCTCATCACATTTCCCTTCGCCCCTGCCATCCCCCACATTTTCATCTCGGCTTCTCCCTTGTTCTTTGCTGGATGGAGGGGAAAATAAGAACATAGTTCATTCTGGAAACTGTAGGCCCTTGTGTGGGCTTTCCATCTTGGCTCTGTTAAAGATCAGGGTTGTCTGCTCGGGGTGACAAATCATCAATGGGATTCTTGTTTGGGACTTCCAAGGCCCACGCAGAGCTAGACTGTGCAACTGCCCAATTGATGGTCCTCCTCCTCTGGACCCCCCTCCCCAGCTTTCCTCACCCTGGGCAGTCACTAGGTTCCCAACCAAAACTCTCTCCCCAGCACACCAAGCTGACTTCATGGGTCCCACAGTCTCAGGCTGTATTTTATTTACACAGCTGCATCTGCTGAAGAGCCGCGA